GTACTTCAGAAATGTGTCATAGGACTTCAGGCTTAGCCAAGTAACTGCTTTTTAGTAGTATTTACCCTTTAGTGACTTGCAGCGTATTGCATAATCACTTTATGGCAAGAGAGGGAACATTTGAGGTTTCAGTATGAGACAACGTGGTCCGTTTTTTTCATCCTGGTTTCCTGCCGACCAAATCAGCATACTCTGGTTCATAGGCTATCTCAACTATGCAATTCATGTGAACACATGAGGATGTTGCTGAGCACGTAGTGAGTCTGGTATTCATTATATAAATACACACAGTAATATCAGCAAATGCTTGTTATATATTAATGGAAATTCAGTTTTACATAGTATAGGAGACTTTAGCACTGGATCATGCCAACTAATGAAAACTTATTTCTCTGAATGTCCTGTACTTGCAGAATGAAAGTACAAGAAAATAGAGTAAAAGAAAATCAATAATATATTTACCGAACTCTTAATAGAAGCTACTTGATTTTTTCAATGTTAAGTCGTAGAAACTAAAATATGATAAAATTAGGGGGAAAAAGGGAATGAATATGCATACTGGCCCACATTTATGGTAGAAAAAGGAAAAGTTACCAGCAGGCATTCTTTTCATATGATGGATAAACCAAGCAGAACTATTTCACAAATGCAAAAATAGTAATTATTTAGCCTGAAATTAGAATTTCAGAAGTAGGCCCAATCAAGACATAAGACACGTCTGCCGAGAGGGGTACTCACTGGAAGTAGATCCAGCCACAAGCAGCCATGGAGGGGACAGGGCTGGGAAAGCTGGTCAGCAGTGGGATATTCAGTTTGGTGGTTAATTCTGAAAGTTGTAGCATAAAGAGGTGAAACAGCAAAACTCAGTGGCTACAAGTCTGTGAGTGGACAGTCTTCAGAGAGTGCAGATCTGAACAGACAGAAGATGAGAGCAGAGCAGACCTCCAGTCTCAAAGGAAGGAGAGTAGATGATCCATAGCCGCGCTCGGGTATAGGAGGTCACATAGTGGTCCTGCTAGTGGAGTGGAGAAGAGATGGATTGTATATAACAGGACAGGGTCTGTGTCTGGGATAGAGGATACAGATGGAGAGCATGTGAAGACGCCACAGTGCACACTAGTGGAGGTCCCAGGACCTTGCTGTGGCTAGGGGAGAAGAAAGGGATGCAGAAACAGGGAACCAGAGAAGCCGTTTCAGCCATTATGTTGCTCTTGTTATCACCTTATGGAATTTCAGTTCTGTAATGTGATATTCTCATTGAACAGTCATGCCTGAATCACATGTTAGTCTATCATGTATTTCAGTTACCTTCAGTAATAAGGTCCTTTCTGTAATAAGGTAGGGCTGTTGTAAATAGACACACAGTCATATTTTTATTCTAAATCAAATATCTTCTGTGATAACAACTCTGTCATCTCTAATTTCAGTACTTCTCCAACTTAACTCACCACAGAGCCATTTGTTGTTTTTTGCAAAGGAAGGAAACAGTAGCTATCAATCTACACCTGCCACCATTCCATGTAGCAAGTTAATTGCAGTTATAGGAGCTCAAACAGTAGGTGTCATTGTTCCCCAGACGCTTATTAGGGATTACCAGCCCAGTGGAAATGATTAGGGAAATGAAAGGGAAGAACAGGTTATGCCAAACCCTTAGTAAGACTACAACAGAATAAACATGACCTGCAAACTTAAGGTAGAGAACGTTCTTGGCCAGGATGTTCATACCCTGTTCTCTTTTATATTCTAGGCTGGAATCCCAAACAACAGGGCCCCTACCTCAGTTGCTCAGCTGAGCATCAAAACAACTTGGTGGTGGTGTTCTTCTGTGCCATGTTCAACCTTTTATTGTCTGCATTCTTTTACCTGGCCTCCAGTCAGATCTGTCTAGGATCTGTGGCCGCTCTACTTCTGTTTGCCTGAGTTTTCAGTGTCTCCAAGCCTGAGTTTGGATTTCGGTGTTTGGTTTCCACTAAGACTCGAGTGCTGCATCTCCACTTGCTGTTTCTCCTCATCTCTACCGGCTCTCCCCTCCCCTACACCACTTTCATGCTCCTATGAGCAGGATCAGATCCCATCCTTATCCCATTTCATCAGACTTCTATCCTTGAAGTCGTTCTTTACAAATTCCTGGATTATACATATAACTTGCATGCGTAGAACCTGTGTTTCATGTGCTTTTTCAAAATCTTAGGATATGTGTTCAGGGGCTATATACCAGTTTTGTTCATTGGGCTCCAACTAGCTCACCTGGCATCTGAAACTTGGTCCTTGCTTAGCTAACACCTGTCTTCTAGCAGGTGCACTGATCTTCCTCTCTTTTCCTTTTCTCATTTAGTGCTCCATGAAAGTCCTGGAATTGACCATCTTTAAAAATATCAGCCCAAGTTTTAATACTCACAGTACAAACTGAGGCTAAATTATTAATTTAGCAGGTTTGGATTAAGGTCAGCTTCAGTATTTTGTCTGTTTTCTAATTTTCCTGAAGGTGCATCAGATGGATTTATTTCTAAGTTAGCTGTTTTGCAGACAGACTTACTCTTTCTAATTTGGTTAATTTTTAATTGCTGGAGCCTAGGAACTATCGTTTTTTCAGTCTCATAACTGTACATTTATGTTAAAGAAAAAAATGACTTTGGCTAAATTCAAATTAAAACATTACCTGATATTTAGATGGGATCTGAATATTATACCATACCACTCCTATCTTGATATGTAGAAAACTTCTTTCTAAAGCATTTTTAGATAGTTTTTCTGAGGAATTGCTTTCCGAACAACTTATGCTAGAATTTGTATGTTTGTGATTTTTTTTTTTTTTGTATTATGCTTCATTAGCTTTAACTTTTAATAGTTTTTTTTTCTCCTTAAGAAGCATATTGTATGTTTTCTAAATGAATATTTTAAGGTAAAAATCCTTCATTATCACATGGGAGAGCTTTGGAGAAGTGTAGCATACCAAACATCATATTTATTCAAAAGCTTGTTTTAGGCTACTAAGAAGTGGAACAAACAAGCAAGCTGTTTATTTAAGTATCTACTTTTTTAGCAACATGATAAAGTCAGCTAGGTATCTGCATGTCTTTAGACACAACTACTTATCAAAAATATTTGTTTTCCTTTTTATTATAATAGTGTTTCCTCTTTTTTTGAGATGGAGTCTCACTCTGTCGCCCAGGCTGGAGTGTAGTGGCATGATCTCGGCTCACTGCAACCTCCATCTCCTGGGTTCAAGCGATTCTCCTGCCTCAGCCTCCACAGTAGCTGGGATTACAGGCATCCGCCACTAAGCCCAGCTAATTTTTGTATTTTTAGTAGAGAGGGAGTTTCACTATGTCGGCTAGGCTGGTTTCAAACTCCTGACCTCAAGTGATCCGCCCGCCTCGGCCTCCCAATGTTCTGGGATTACAGGCGCGAGCCACCACGCTTGGCCAGAGTAGTGTTTCTAAACTAAGGGGGCACATCCCCTCTACCTGTGGAGCTCTGTTGTTTTGGTTTTGTTTTTTTTTATTATAGTAAAATATAAACAAAGGTTGCCATCTTAGCCATTTTTAAATGTACAGTTCAGTGGCATTAAGTACGTTCTCATTGTCACACAACTGTCATCACCATCCATCTTCAGAACTCTTTGTATCTTGTATGAAACACTAATTTTTCATGTCCTCCTTTCCCTATCCGTTGGCAACCACCATTTCACTCTCTGTCTTTAAGAATTTGACTACTCCGGGTACCTCATGTGAGTGGGATCTTAGTCTTTGTCCTTTTGTGACCGGCATATTTTACTTAGCATATCTCAGGGTACGTCCACATTGTAGCACGTGTCAGAACTTTCTTCCTTTTGAAGGTTGAATAATATTTCCATCTATGTATGTGCTACGTTTTGTTTATCCTTTCACCTGTCAATAGACACTTAGGTTGCTTCCATCTTTTGGGCATTGTGAATAACGCTGCTATGAACATGGATGTACAAATATCTGTCCAAGTCCTTGCTTTCATTTCTGTTGGGTATATACTCAGAAGTGGAATTGCTGGGGCCAGGCACAGTGGCTCATGCCTGTAATCCCAGCACTTTGAGAGGCCGAGGCAGGTGGATCATGAGGTCAGGAGATCGAGACCATCCTGGACAACATGGTGAAACCCAATCTCTACTAAAATACAAAAAATTAGCCGTGAATGGTGGTGCACGCCTGTAGTCCCAGCTACTCAGGAGGCTGAGGCAGGGGAATCGCTTGAACCTGGAAGGCGGAGGTTGCAGTGAGCCGAGATTGTGTCACTGCACTCCAGCCTGGCGACAGAGCAAGACTCTGTCGGAAAAAAAAAAAAAAAAAAAAGTGGAATTGTTGGAGCATATGGTAGTTCTACGTTTAATTTGTTGAGGAACTTCCATACTATTTACCCTAGCAGCTACATCATTTTACATTTCCACAAGTACAGTACACAGTTCCAATTTGTCCATATTTTTGTCAACACTTGTTATTTTGTTTTTTAATAATAACCATCCTTATAGTTATGAAGTATGTGGATTTCTTAAAGATGTTTGTGTCCCATTGGTCAGGATTCTAAGTCTCTGCTTGTGCTAGGTGCCTACATAGAACCAGACCAACAGTATAACTGAGGAATGGCTACAAAGTTTACTAATGTTTGTCATACAGTTTTTAAGACTCATTATTGAGTTCTTGATCTGAAAATCACTAGTCATTTTTTTTTTTTTCATAGTAAGATATAAGTATAGATGCTAGGTTTAATTCTAACAATGTTAATGAAATATTAAGCATATGTTAGACTATATAATTTAGAAAGATAAATTATATACATTTTAAATGATTTTCTTCACATCTTTTACCTCAGCATGATAAAGAATAATTCACTTGTAGAAAATTACACCTTTCCATTCTGCCTAGATCTCTTGTTACTTCATTCCTCAGTTTCCCTGCCTCCCTGTGGGCTTCCCTTTGTAGAACTTCAGATTTTAATAAAATTTAAGAATCTAGTTTAAACAGGTAGCAGACTGCTTTTGCCTGATACAGTACTCCCATCTTTCTATTTAATATCCATGATAATATAAAATACAAACCCTAGAGACAGCTTTGTAGCAATGATAAAGAAAAGCCACATCAAAGGTCACATCATCTATGGGCTGGACAGAGAAACATATTTTTACCTTGCAGACTTCATGTTCTGCCATCTAAACAATACAGATAGCCACAAAAAGAAAAGAAAGGGAGGAAAAACTGACTTTGCTTTCTTCTACTGTCTATTGCACTAACCAGAAAAGCTGGTGACATTTCCTCAACTGAGCAGAAACTTATTTTCTGAACCATCTAGAGCCAAGTTGTGTTATTGTTTTTCACCTCTCTGCCCTCATCAGCTTTTATATTTTAATAACCATTCAGACAAGAATACTCAGCGTACAAAACAATGGGGAGGAAAGGGATTCTCCTGGGATGCTCAGTCACCTAGCAAAAGCATTTGAGAAAGGGATAAAGGCAAGAAGATTATTGGATTTTCATATGTGCTTTCAAGTGTACACTACCCCAGAACAAACCACAAATTTGTTTCTGATTCTCCAGCATAATCATAAAATGGAACCAAAAAGCAAGTCTACCTAAGTAGGTATTATAGATTATTCTAGGGCAGATTCAGATACTGGCTCTTCAAATCTAAATCCAGGAGGAGCCATCTGCTCACAGCCAAGTAGACAATTATATAAGCTAAGAACAGTCTACCTACCCAGGTTGTTGGAAATGGTTCTAGCTAGATTGATCGTTCCACCTTAAGAACCACTAAACACAAAGAAAGAATTTGGGACCTATGAAGAGAAATGACAAACTAGGGGAAAGGATGATTTGCCTCGATGACTCAGCATAAAAACAGAATCTAGAGAACTGATTTTTATAAAATTCAGATGAAAACTTGAGAAGTAATATTGTTAATCTTCTCAAAAAATGCTCAAGGACATAAACTTTTCTGAAACATTAGTAGGAAGCCATTAAAGTAGAGTAGGCTTAGAATTGAAAGACTGGGGATACAGAAAGAACAGCTGAAATGAGGAGGGAAAAACAACCCTAGAAATGTTTTAGAAGAGACTTTAAAAACTATGTTGAAGGCAGTAAAGAACAGAAATGATTAAAAATCAGTCAAATACATGATGAAAGAGAAACTGGAGAAGCCCTGCTGGAATAAAAAGGAACAGGATAAAGATAAAAACTACGTGACAGCCTGGACACAGTAGCTCTGTCCTGTAATCCCAGCACTTTCGGAGGCCAGAGTGGGAGGATCTCTTGAAACAAAGGAGTCTGAGACCAACCTGGGCAACATAGTAAGGTTCTGTCTCTATAAGAAAATAAATAAATTGGCCAGGTGTCTTGATGTGCACCAGTTTCTTCTGAGGCCAAAGTAAGAGGACTGCTTGAGCCCAGGAGTTTGAGATTTTAGTGAGCTATGATGACGCCACTGTACTCCCTCCAGCCTGGGTGACAGAGCAAGACACTGTCTAAAAAAAAAAAAGAAAAGAAAAAGAAAAACCACAGAACTGTCAGAATAATAATGTTAAATGTGAAAGTCAGAGATTGAAAAGCCAATCTGAAAACTATAATTTGAATGAAGACACGTATTTGTAAAAGTACAAGTATAGGGTATGCCCAGCTAATTGAGAGATAAATTTAAAAAACAATTAGTATGAAGTAGAGATCTGATTATTAGCATTGGTGGAAGGGCAAAGAAAGTAATGAAGCTATAATTTTCTTGTCTTACATAAACAGGAAAATAGAAGCAGGTGTCAAGAGGTTTTTTTGCTTCTTTTCTTGTTTTATTAGGTTGGTGTGAAAGTAATTGTGGTTTTGCCATATTTTTAATAATGAGAGAAATATGGGCATGAAAAGCAACCGTAGTAGAATTGTGCATAGGATTCCTGTATTCAAATGCCTTCAAAAGATAAGAGCAATGGCAGCAACCAAAGGAAAAACAAGTTCCCAAATTAGAAAGCATAAAGCAAAAACAATACTAGAACAAATCTATCAGCTATGACAATAAATGTAAATGGATAAAATTATTTGAGAAAAGCTAAAATACTAAAAAAAAAAAAATCTAGTTGAACTGTACTGTTTGCAAAAGAGTCATACCTAAACCAAAGTGGCACAGAAAGGTCAATAATAAAAAGATAAACATGTATCTGATAAATGTGAACAGACAACTGAAGTTGAAGGCCAAATTTGTTAGAAAAGACAAACTGGACTTACTTTATTATCTAGATTTACAGTATTATCAAATCATATAAATTTAAATTCTTATATTATCAAGGATAAACAAGTAAACACATTTGAAATATAGGACTTATACATATAACTATATGTCCATAACAAAATTTATAGGATATATAGCATTGAGAATTTTGTAAAATTAGTAAGATTTCAAATAAATGAGCACCTATATACATATGTGAAACTTTGCATAGTACAAATAGAGCTCAATCAAGCATTTCTGCTACTTTATAAAAAGTATTCAGCTATCTTTAAAAGTTCTTAAAGAGTAGAAATTTTGATAGCCAGTAATTTCTGACCACACTGTAATTAATGACAAAAAATAATTTCAATAAACCAGTGAAAACTCTTGTAAGGGGACAGGAGGAAGGGGATAACTCAAAGAGTAAATAAGAATCTTAAGTGCATATTGTTAAGAAAATAAAGAAAAAGTATATATCAAAATTTGTGGAATAAAGTCTAAACTTTTTAAAGAGGTAACCTGACACAAGATTGAAGATAAATCAGCCACACATTCAGAATAAGAAGTTATAGAAAGGAAGAAAAAGCAATCTCTTTGAAACCTAAAAGAATTCGTTAATAATAAAAGAAAACAGAAAACAAGCAGAACTGATATTTGAGTTCAGGAGCTGGTTCTTTGAGAGTAAAAATGAAAATTACAAGATACAAAATTCTTGATGAGCTTAAGAAAAATGAGAGATGATAATAATCATAATTGAAGTTTACTGTGTTATAATTTTTTAAAAGATTAGAGAACACTTCGTGCAATTTGAAACTAATAAACATGAAAACCTAGAAGAAATAAAAATTTTCTGCATTATATAAATTTGGAGAAAAAGAAAAAATCTATTTAAATCAAAAAAAGCACTTTTAGTAACCTAATTCTAATGAAATAACTAAAGGTATAGCCAAAGATTTATGTAAATAGTAGCATTATTTGAGAATAAAGATTATTCAGAGAATTGAGGACATACTCTGAAGCTGGACTACATAGATAGAATGGAGCTGTGTAAACTTAAATTAGATACTTCTCTGATCTTCAATTTTCTGTAAAATGGAAAAGAGATACAGTATATAAGTGAATTATGCATTGCATTTTATAATTTTGTTAATATAGACCTTAGTGTAAAAACTAAAAAAACTTCCAATTTCTTTTTATGCTAAAACATACTAAATATATGAAATTGAAAACACCAATAATTGTCAAAAGAAGCTGTATAGAAGATGAATATTCTGACATTTTGATGGGTTACATTTGATTGGTTAGAATACATTTTATATAGTATTAAGATATAGCTGTGAAGAGTAATTTTTTTCTTCAAATCAGACTATTTAAAAGAATAGGAAATTTGAATTAGAGAAGGTATGAGGATAAATATTTTCCTCTTTTTGAGTTATATCCATGTAGTATGTTTTCAATTTTTATTCTAGTATATTATGCACAGTATACAATTTTAAACCAAAATTTGAGGCTACCCAAAATGTTTGTAATGATGCAAAAGGATGATGCAACTTTTATCAGAGTTTAAATACCTACAAATGTTCCAATAAAGTTCTGCATATGATAATCATAGCTAGAGGTTAAAGCAAAAGGAATAAATATTGAGGATTGAATTGTTTTAATGTAGGACACTGTGAAGAATGCACTAAAATTATGAACAAAATTTAATTTAGAAAGCTGTTACACAATAACAAATATGTATGTTATATATGTATAATGTTGATGCTGCAGATCAACTTATAGTATTTTAAGATGATACTGAAAATACTATATTTTGTTAAATTGACAAATTAAAAATTTTAGGCTATTTTGATGATTGTTACATGAGATTTATCCTTAGGTTTATTTAAGCAAACATCTCATAATTGTCCTTTTAATCCTTGCTCTATTAGAAAAATAGAGTAAATTTAAATATTATATCTTAGAGAAACTGATAATTTTGTTGGACCTCATGTTTCCTAATAAAACGGTAATATTTTACAGGCAGGATTTTATATGCCATAGAGGAGAACATACTGAAATAAGAGAACACACAGAAAAGAAAACACATGCTTTTCAAGATGTCT